GTGAGTACAACATACTAACTCTCAAATCCAGAGGGAAATCTTAAGTTCAGTTATGTAATATCCTCCCAATACTCCAAAAGTATAAAATTTCATAGTGAAAAAGGAGTATTTTCTTATCAGTGAATACTGACTCCAATTCAGTGATACCAATATAGATAGCAAGCTACAAAGCAATTTACTGGTAAATGAAGCCAAATGCCATACAAGCTGTACTTTAAAAACAAATGATGCACTAGTTGTTAGGGAAATGTAAATCCAAGCCACAGTCACAAGTAGGAATGGCTACTACTAAAACAACAAAGTAGGCTGGGCATGGTGGCTCACACCTGTAATTCCAGCACTTTGGGAGGCCGTGGCATGATGGCAGGCAGCTGTAATCTCAGCTACTCAGGAGGCTGAGGCAGGAGAAGCACTTGAACCCAAAGGTGGAGGTTGCAGTGAGCCGAGATTGTGCCCCACACTCCAGCCTAGGCAACAGAGCAAGAATCCATCTCAAAACAAAACAAAATAATGTTGGTGAGAACGTGGATAAATTGGTTGTGCCCTGTTGGTGAAATGTTAAATGGTGCAGAAAACAGCACGGTGGTTCCTCAAATTATTAAAAATAGAATTATCACATGATATAGCAATTTCACTTCCAGTTATATACCCAGAAGAATTAAAAGCAGGGTCACAAGATAGGTGTACACTCACGTTCACAGCAGGGTTATCCAGAACAGCTAAAAGATAGTAGCAACCCAAGAGTTCATCGATAGACTAACGGATAAGCAAAACGTGGTCTATACATACAATAGATTATTCAGCCTTAAAAAGGAAAGAAACTCTGACCAGGCGCGGTGGCTCACGCCTGTAATCCCAGCACTTTGGAAGGCTGAGGTGGGCAGATCACCTGAGGTCGGGAGTGACCAACGTGGAGAAACCACATCTCTACTAAAAATACAAAATTAGCCAGGTGTGGTGGTACATGCCTATAATCCCAGCCACCCAGGAGGCTGAGGCAGGAGAATCGCTTGATAACAGGTCACACTGAATGGCAGAAAATACAGTATTGCTTTTAACTACTCTGTGCAAGGGATAAATGACTAAGGGCCTTGTACCTCGTTTCCTCCCCTTCTCTGAGATCAGTGGTCTGAGCACTTTCGGAGCTTATAATGCAGGTTCAAGGAGCTAGGAATCACAGGTGCAGCTTGCATTTCAACTTTTAAGATCAATTGGTTAGCTTCCTTTGACTACAAAGCTCTTCTCAATTTCTCTAGTACAGTCTTAACTTGATATGAAGCACTTACACGAGGAATGGTGCAGACAAGAAGGCAGCTTTATTGTACTTTGGGGGAGAAAAACATGATTCCATTTAGTGGGGGAAAAAAAGCCATTGACACTCAGTAAGCAACACTGCCATCTAGTGGAATGGTGACACACCACCAAGACTTTCAAGACCAGATAGGAAACGTGAGTGCATTTGGTTTCAATTTTCACCATAAAACAGCACTTTTAATAAGCTGGTTTTCAGAGAACCTCAGATTATTTTTCAGAAACTGCTTTTATCTTTAAAATGCACATGTATGTGCTTTGTTTTTGGTGGAGCATTAAGAATGAGTTGTATTTTTCTTATTAAACCATAAAATTAATTCTCAACTTGAAAGTTATGAAACACTTTGGGGCAACCTGCCTCTTTGAACACCCATCACTTTGGCTTGACAGTCGAACAGCAACCCCTGATTATGATAGCAGTTTATAAAGAAGCAAAACTCAACTGTACAAGAATGACATTGTTTTCTCATTTCCTCTATTTTTACAATCTATGGTGCTAAGTATTTGTACTTCACTTATTTGAATTTCTGGAAAAAATCATTAGAACACACCAATAACAATTTTGCATAAACCACTTAACCCAACTCTTATTATGACTGCACAGTAACAGTGGAAGATATTGGTGTGAGGATGTGGGAATGCAGTTCTTAATGAATAATCAAGCAATTCTCCAGGTTTTAATTCACCTTTATACCCACGTGTTGCAGTGAATGTGTTGATTTGATGACTTCTATGAGCATATAAATGAGAATGCTTAATGAAACACCTGGATGAAAAAAGAAATAAAGTTGTGAGAATAACATATTGCTAATAACCACAATCTCATATCAGCATTTCTGTTATTACTGAGATTTCAAATTCTGGGTTAAGAGCTCTGCTCTTTGGAATATCCACAATGGTTACTGATCTTGCTAATGGTTTCCTCTATTGCAACGTTTCTGGGTTTATGGTTGGAAGCACTCACGGATTCCAGAATGCATGAGTCTGACATGGTCTTCATTAAACCATATTCCTGGCAAATAATAAACTCCGTTAAGGATTTCAGAAAAGAGCCAAGCTCTGGGAGAGAGGTATACAAGTGTAGAGTAAGAAGTTGAATTAAAACATTTTTAGTTGCATTGTCTGTAGACAAAACTGAATGTTTCAATTCTGAGAACCTGAGATTGTCCAGAAAAAGTTAGTTCAGTGTGTGGGACATGAACAATCACAAAGTCAGAACCAGGTTATTTTGCATTTCTCACAGCAGCATTAACTGGGGAGTGGGGGTGGTACCTGAAGTACGATATCTGAATGAGCCTGGGGTTGTGGGAGTTGTCTTTTTTTTTTTTTTTTTTTTACTGCCTCAGCGTTCAATGCAATTTGCAATCATCTCCCCTTCCCCCGAGTCTGAAGCCTTCTTTCTCCCATATTCAAATTGTCTGCGTCATTCACATAATGCTACTATTTGGGTACTCCTGAAGCCAAAGCAATAAAAAATGCTAGGGGAGCCTTATATTAATTCAAACATGATGCCAAAGTCATCTCCAAAAAAGTTTATTAGCATGATTAAAAACATTTTCTTGAATAATAACAAAGAATTTCTAAGCATGAAAGAATATCAGTGGCTAAACCTTAAAACCAGTATTTGGAACTGAATGGACAGCTTTATTGCCAGTCTTCATTTTATTAAAAACAATCCATTGATTGGCTCCATGAAGTCGTGACTATTGCTTTGTCTGGGAATGAGTCCCTACTGCAATTAAGTATAAAAAATATCTTCCATCATAATTGGAGTGTGACCTGCATTAGAGAGTGGCTCTGAGTAAAGAGTTGATAAAAATCCACAAAGAGTTGGGTTTTTCTCTTTTAAAAACATTCCTTTACACACTACAAAGAAATAATTAGTATTTTGGCTTTTAAAATTCCTACATGATATTTAGAATGGCGGTCCCCAAGGGTCCTCCCTTCACATAATTGTGAATGCAGACCCTCTTCCGAGGGCACATCCCAGAGGGTGCGGACTCTGAAGACTTCAACCTCCCCATGTTTATACTGGTTTGAGAACAAAGACAGCATCATCCAGAACGTAGTAGTCATTATACATGTCACCTTCACACAGGTATGGCAGTCTGGTGAAAGCTTCAATAACAAAACCGGCTTTTCTGAAAACTTCAGGCAGACTATTCACTTGTTCTTCCCAGTTCTGTCCCTTGATTTCCAAAATTTCCGATGGTTTCTCCCACTTGCCACCTACTAATACAAATAAAAACATTCAGTTAAATTCTTGAACAAACAAGTGATTTTAAAAAGGGAAGTAGGGAGGAGCCATATCTGTCAATGCCTTGGTATGTGCCAGGCCTGAGGGCTTCACAAGTTACCTTTTACACTTCCCAGGTACTCCTTGAGACAGATGGACTCAGAGATAAATAACAGACTCAGAAGGGCTGAAGAACTTCCCCACACTTGCAAGGTTAATGAGTGTCAGTATGGAAATGTAAGCCCAGTTTGTCTGGATCCAAAGCCCACACTGTTATCTTCTCTGATGGTTTTGGGTAGTATCTGCCAATAGACTGACTGGGGGGTGTAATGGTTAATGGGTTTGGAAAACTGGTCATTAAATGCTGGAATACTGAAACAGAGAGCAACATGTAATATTTGAAAGAGGGTTTTGGACAAATGCAAGAAAATACCACTGGTTGTAGTAAACATTACCTAGAGAGATTTGTTAGGCTGAAAATAAAAATAGGCTCATGAAGGATTTTAATTTATACAAACAGATCACTGGAGAGTTTTTCAACGGAAGTTGACCCATTCCCTGCCTTTTCAGAACAAGTTTATAAACATTAAGCTCCAGGACCAGAGAGGTGGAACACCAGGATGGATGCACCCTCCGACATTTCTTGGACTACAGATGAAGTCTCTTTCAGTCATTTCCAAACCTATGAGCAGGAGATGCCTGTGGTACAAGGGGATTAGGTAAGGTCCTCTAATTCACATACGAGCCCAGCACTGACTACAGACAACACACAAAGATGACAGCATATTTAACTTTGGGGGTGCTTTTTAGGTGCTATGGTGATACAAAAACTACATATATCCTTTGAAGTGTTAAAAACCAGACTAACTTCCTGTTAATGAGAAAATACATAATGAGCAGATGCCAAAGGCACAGACACCATGGTGGAGAGATTTTTCCTAATTTTCAGTGACGCAGATGACGCTCTTCCCATGTCTGGGGAATTGCCTGCCCAGAGTCTGGGAGAGAGGCAAGGCCTGGGAGCCGGCTTTCCTGGCCTGCCAGGGAGCTGAGGCACCGGCAGGCAGCCTGAGCCAAGCACACTTGCCGGAGCCCTGGAATGAAGAGCCAGTGACCCAGAGCAGTGGGGACATGAGCTTCTCCATCTCTGGGAGTGGAGCAATGGCAGTGAGACCAAGGGGCCAGGGCAGTGGTTGAGGGATGCTGACGACAGGGCTGACGGCACCCAGTGCTTGGCAGTGGCAGCAGCATGCTCTTCAGACCCATTAACTGTGATTTGGGGCATTCTTCCTGGCTGTAGATCCCACACAAGGTTCACTAGCCCTCCCAGTGACTCTAGGAGCTATCCCCAAATGCTTGCAATAAATTTCCTTTTGCTTAAGTCAGCCTGAGTCTGCTTCTGCTGCTTACAAAGAAGAGCTTTACTCAATCACCACTAAGCGTCAGGGGAGAGGCACGGGGGACAGAGGGCCCACGTATTTGTTTCTCAACACATTAAAAAGGGGTCTCTGGGCCAGGCAGGGTGGCTTACACTTGTAATCCTAACACTTTGGGAGGCCAAGGCAGGAGGGTTGCTTGAGGCCAGGACTAGCCTAGACAACATACAATCTACAACAAAATAAAAATTAGCTGGGCATGGTGGTGCATGTCTGTAGCCCCAGCTACTCAGGAGGCTGAGGCTGCAAAGGGCCACAATCTTGCCACTGCACTCCAGTCTTGGTGAAAGAGACCCTGTCTCAAAAAAGGCGGGGGGAGGGGAGGTTTTTTTGGATTCAAAGCTGGAATACAACTAGTTAATAAAAGACAATTTATTTCTTCACTGCACTAGAATGTGTTGTTTACTAACTTTTCTCTTGTCTCTACCTGAAGCCACTTCTCCTTCTGCTGTTTCTTTGTTCCCAGCAGTTACTGGCCCAGAGTGGGACCCACAGCAGGTAGCCTGGACAGTGACTGAACTGTTCTGAAAAAATCCAAGTACGAATCGTCTGTCAAAGAACACTCCTTCTTCCTGGGAATATGTGCTATGTGTAAATCAAGATCCAAGAACATCTAACACCTAAGAGGACCGTAAAAATCCGTGGGAAAAAATGATACGCACATTTCTAAATGTGCTCCAGGTCAAAATCTCACTGTCAAATGGTGAAGCTGCGTTACAAACCATCCTTACACAATTTCAAAAAGTTCCTGATTATGGTTGCTTCATAAGAGGTTCCTCTCTTTAGCTCTTCCCTTCTGAAAAAAAGAAAGCCAACTTTCCTTTTGAATACACACCCCAACCCGCCCCAGCACACACAGAAATGGGGACTGTGAGCAGAAGCAACCTCGCTCACCATCTGCAAACCAATCTCATTCTATTTTATGTCGGTAAGGTTCGTTTTCTTCTCCTCCTTCATTTTATTTAAATCGCTTGCTATTTTTCACCTAATGCGTTTATATTTTAAGCTCCTTCAGATTAATTTTTAAATGTATAACATTATGGAAATTGCCTAAGGGGACAGGTTTCCTTTTTCCACTAAGAAATAGATAATAAAGAAAACAGCTGAGAAAAAGTTTCATGTTAACCTTGAAAAGTCTCTTTGCTATTATGCTGCTTTGGAGACGATCTGACTAAACAAAGGGTTGAAAATATTATTAAAATAATATGTACAAGTCATCAACAATTGTCATGCAAACTTGATGTGCACATAGAAAACATTAAACAATATTTGCTGAATAGTTTCAAAGAACAATTTATATAAAAGTACTTTTCATTTAAGAAAAAAAAAAACTACCATGACTCCTTCTATAGAGAATAGCCATCCCATAATGTATTTTTAAAATTCTGCCTACCCCTGTTTTTTATCTATGAAAGAGAAAGTAGGGCAGGGAAGGGGGCAAAGTTCTTAAAATTAATTTTTTCTCATCTGTAAAGAAATACACCAAAATGTTAATGGGGGTTATTTCAGGCAAAAGGACTATGGGTGACTTTTTGCTTCTACTTTTAATAATCTGTTTTATTTCCTAATAAGCATATATTACTTTCATAGACTGTTTTAATTAGCATTATTTTAAAGAAGAAGAATTCTCTTTTAGAGATAGATTCTGAAAGATATTTGCAGATATGGCTGGGATTTGCTCTAAAATAATATGGGCATGAGGGAGTAGGTGGGAGGAGAAAAAAAACAAGATTGAGTGGAAGCCATGTGATGGCAGGGGATGACTACTATCTGCTACTTCGATATGTTAGAAATTTGAAACCTAATATAATAATAATTTTTTTAAAAGCTTTGGGCTGGGCATAGTGGTTCATGTCTGTAATCCCTGCACTTTTGGGGCCAGAGTGGGAGGAGAGCTTGAGCCCAGGAGTTCAAGACCAGCATGAACAACATAATGTGACCCTCATTTCTACACAATAAAAAAATTAGCTGAGCGTGATGGCATGCACCTGAAGTCCCATCTACTTGGGAGGCTGAGGCAGGAGGACCACCTGAACCCAGGAGTTTGAGGTTGCAGGGGAGCTGTGATCGTGCTACTGCACTCCAGCCTAGGCAATAGAGCAAGACACTTACTTACTTCTTACTTACTAGATAGACAGCTTTGTTTAAAAGTCAAGAATTAGTTTCCTATTTACTTTCAATATGGTTTGTTTTGTTGTTGTTGTTGTTGTTGTTGTTTTTGAGACGGAGTCTTGCTTTGTCGCTCAGGCTGGAGTGCAGTGGCATGATCTCAGCTCACTGCAACCTCCATCTCCTGGGTTCAAGTGACTCTCCTGCCTCAGCCTCCTGAGTAGCTGGGATAATAGGCCCCATGCCACCACACCCAGCTAATTTTTGTATTTTTAGTAGAGACAGGGTTTCACCATGTTGGTCAGGCTAGTCTCGAACTCCTGACCTCATGATCTGCCCACCTCGGCCTCCCAAAGTGCTGGGATTACAGGCATCAGTCACCTCACCTGGCCGGTTTTTTAAAATAATAAAAATAATCTTTTTATTCCCTCCACCGAGGAAATAAATCTTCAACATTTTCATTGGATACTGTGTTTAAAAAACAAATCCTAGACTATGAGGATTCTTAAAAGAAATTTTTCACAGGAGCAGGCTGTGGTGTGACATATCCAAACTTCTCTTTTTTGTTAATATGTTGCCTAAGTGGTGGGGGAAGGGAACTGCAGTTTTGTCACAAGTCCCTGCTCACATAGGAAATCACTGCAGCTGGTTTTCTCCCGCACTCAGACTAATTGGGAAGAAGGCAGAAATAAGCAGAGATATGAAATTCCAAAGTTACAAACGCCTGTTTTTTTAATCCTATATTACTAGTTTTTAAAGAAAAATGTTAAAAGTCAGATCCCCCCAACCTTTTTTTTTTTTTTGAAACAAGAGTCTCACTCTGTCACCCAGGCTGGAGTGCAGTGGCACAATCTCAGCTCACTGGAACTTCCACCTCCTGCGTTCAAACAATTCTCTTGCCTCAGCCTCTCAAGTAGCTAGGGATTACAGGCATCTGCCACCACACCTGGCTAATATTTTTATTTTTTAGTTGAGATGAGGTTTCACCATGTTGGCCAGGCTGGTCTTGAACTCCTGACCTCAGGTGATGTGCCCACCTCAGCCTCCCAAAGTACTGGGATTACAGGCGTGAGCCACCACGCCCAGCCTCTATTCCTTTGATAGAGACAGGGCTGCACAATGCTACCCAGGCTAGAGTGCAGTGGTGGCATCAGAGCTCACTGCAGCCTGGAATTCCTGGGCTCAATCAGCCTACCGCCTCAGACTCCTGAATAGCTGGGACTAATGGGCACACCACCACGCCTGGCTCCTTAGATCCCTTTTAAAAACACTATCTGATTTGGAAGGCTGAGGTAGATATATTGTTAGAGCTCAGGAGTTTGAGACCAGTCTGGCCAACATGGCAAAACCCTGTTTCTACTAAACATAAAAAAAAATTAGCTAGGCGTGGTGGTGCATGCCTGTAGTCTCAGCTACTCCAGAGGCTGCAGCGAGAGGACTGCTTGAGCCCAGGAGGCAAAGGCTACAGTAAGCTAAGATCCCACCACTGCATTCCAGTTTGGGTGACATGGTGGGACCCTATCTCAAAAATAAAAATAAAAATAATGTGTAAATAATGGAATCATCCACTGTTTAAAAATAATTATGCAAAAGATGACTTGAGATTGAGACACTGCTTAACCTTGCTAAGTTCTGGCAAACCCAATTCCATTTTACATTTCTAATCAGTAAATACTATAAAATGTTTCACTGTACTTGTAAGGTGCTTGAGTCTGGGCAGGAGATATGAGGTTGTATTTCTCAGACTTGAGAGAGGATCCAGTCCCCTTGGCTGGAGATGGAGCTGAGCTAGGTCTCCCGCAGACCTGAAGCTCTGAGAAGCCTGCAGGCCTCCTCCAGGTGATTGTACCCTCTTGTTTGGTTTGCATTTATCAGGTCACCACAGAGCTCCCAGCTCATCTCACATAGCATAAATACCAAAATATAACATGGTGAGAAGAGGGCCAGACGTGATGGCTCACACCTGTAATCCCAGCACTTTGGAAGGCCAAGGCAAGCAGATTGCTTGAGTTCAGGATTCAAGACCAGCCTGGGCAACATGGTGAGACCCCACTGATACCAAAAATACAAAAATTAGCTGGACACAGTGGTACATGCCTGTAGTCCTCACTACTTTTTAGAGGCTAAGGCAGGAGGATGGCTTGAACCCAGGAGGTCAAAGTTGCAGTGAGCCATGATTGCGCCACTGCACTCCAGCCTGGGAGACAGAGACTCTATTTAAAAACAGTAACAAAAACAAACACACAAAAAAAACCTGGTGAGAAGAGACTCGCATCACAAATGGCATGATTCTAACTTTAATTCTCTGCTGTTATGAATGGGGACCCATAAGTGAAACACTAAGAGAAAAAAGCCCCTGTCTTAAAGTTAAGCATCAGGCCACTTGGAATGACTTTTCAATTCCATTTACAGTAGCAAAGGACAAATTCACACAAATAGAAACATTGGGGAACATACGACCAGGCTGAAGTCAGACCAAAACCTTGACAAATTCCAATTTGTCTCAACCAATACTGTTTTACCTATGGCCTCCCCTGCCGCAAGAAGGGTTTAGGGCGGGTCTTTCCATTTGTGCACCTGAGTAGCTTTCCACCTTCACATGCCTGGGATATGAAGGCCAAGGTGGGGGACTCAATCCTCATAACTTGGAAGACCACTGCATGTTGGAAAGTGCACTGGACTGGGTGACTAGTCCCAGCTCTGTGAACACACCTCGCAGACAGATGTCCACAGCCATCTCTCAAATGGCCACCTGACACTGTGGGAACAGTTGCAGTGATGGCTGCAGCAGCAATCACTGCCTTCTATTAAATACTTACTATAGCTTAGGCAGGTAACTACTCCCTAGGCATCGTCTTGAACGTCACACTAACCGCATGAGGTCAATAATACTATCCCCATTTGCTAATGAGGAAACTGAGACGCTGAGATTATAATGCTGGGAACAGGCAGAGCTAGGATCTGAACTCAAGTCTGTGCTCTTTACAATATTGTTAATTAAATGAGATAAATGCTACAAGGGCCTACAAAGCAGCACACACGTGCCAGGAAGAAAACAAATCTGCTTAGCCATGGCCTGGCGAGCTCATTTGGTCCCTGCTCAGTAATCAAAGACATAGCAGGCTAAGCCAGGGCTGCATTTCCACAGGTGTACATCTTGCCTTTTATCATGTTTCCCAAAGGGACACCAGGCTCACAAAGGTACAATTGTGAACAGCCATGAATTCCTGGCAATCCCAACTCCCACAAAGCACAAACATCGCTGCTGCTCATGGGCTCCATCAGCGGCAGTGGCAGCGTTTGTCTGGGGAGCTTTGACACAGGGTACCGCACTGAACACAGCACTCCAGGAAGGCCAGGGTGCAAATGAGGGAGGAGGCTGGGAGATTAAGTGATTGGATGGAAGGAAAGCTTGTAAGGAGAGTCACAGACGCCCCAAACTTCTGACTCCAATATGGTGCCACCTCTGTGCAGGACTCTGTTCCCCTGGAGCCTCTCTAGGGCTGGCCTCATGTCAGTGAACAGACATCACGTGACCCAGCAGGTCAAGGTCAGAAAACAGGAGCAGCTGGGACAAGTGAGGACCACTGGTGTCTATTTTTAGTCTTATTTACATTGGGATTACGGTAAGAAAAAGAACAAAATGGCTGGGTTTCCTACCCCAAAATTATAAGTAAAATAAAAGCACAGGCGAAGTGAGGTGAGAAGCCCATTAAACCACTCATCTGCTTCCTCCTACAGGTGTTGTAGGTGCCTGTACTGTCTCCATCACACAACCACAGTACCTAGAAGTGGACTACACTTACAAGGCTGTCACCATAAAGTGTACCTTCTTCGCAACCGGGTGCCCTTCCGAGAGACCAACACACCTGTGGTTTCGCTATGGCGCTCACCAGCCTGAGAACCTGTGCCTGGACGGGTGCAAAAGTGAGGCAGACAAGTTCACAGTGAGGGAAGCACCCACAGAAAACCACGTTTCTCTCACTGTAAACAGAGTGACTTCAAATGACAGTGCAATTTACATCTGCGGAATAGCATTCCCCAGCGCATTGGAAGCAAGAGCTAAGCAGACCGGAGGAGGGACCACACTGGTGGTAAGAGGTCAGTCAGCAAGGCTTTATTTCAGTGCATCATTGCATCTTGTTCAGACCTGTAAAATCATTACCTCACTCACATGCAAAAATCAGGAGATAAATTTGCTAAGTGAATACCTTAGTCAGTAAAGGGTGTGATCTGAGCACAAGTCACCATGAGGTTTGTACTAAAGAACCACTCCTAACTGGTTGGACAGGGTGGCTCACACCTGTAATCCCAGCACTTTGGGAGATCAAGATGAGCCAATTACTTGAGGTCAAGAGTTCAAGGCCAGCCTGGCCAACATGATGAAACCCATCTCTACTCAAAATACAAAAATTAGCCGAGCGTGATGGCATGCACCTGAAGTCCCAGCTACTTGGGAGGCTGAGGCAGGAAAATCCCTTGTAACCCGGGAGGCGAAGGTTGCAGTGAGCCGAGATCATGCCACTGCACTCCAGCCTGGGTGATAGAGCAAGTCTCCAACTCAGAAAAATAAAATAAAAGAACTACTCCAACTCATTTCAAACATCCACTAACACAAAGTCAGTGATATGCTGGTGCTCTATTCTCTCTTCACAGTGAAGGCTAACCTTCACATGAGCCACGCTCATCCCTTTTGTATATTACAGTGATTTAGTGTAAAGTACCATGTCCAAAGGCAAGCTTGTGGTGAGTAACTATCAGCTTTCTCAGGAACTGGTCTGGTAATGCACCATCTAGAACAAAGTGCTAGAGAAGCCTAAGTGATCAATAAATTGGACCCACAGAAAATATGCAATATGGAGAATAAGCACAGATTTGGAGAGAAGCTACTCAGGGATCTCTGAGCTTTCCCATTCTGCCTGGACATCACTTCCTAATATTTGGTAAAACCCATGACAATTCCTCACCTGAGCAAGGACATCAAACACAGGTAAATTCTATCAGTAATTTCACCAAGTCATTCCCTTGAGAAGACTAAGATTAAGAAATTTCAGAGAAAAAAAAAGGAATTTCACAGAAAAAGCTTTACATGATTCTAAAAAAAAAGAGAGAGAGAAAAGCAGCAACTCCTTGCCTTGTTGGGGTCTCTTCCCCTAGAAAGGACCCTGGTATGATGGGCACTGAGATCATTAAAACATTAACTCAAAATCAACCAACCATTCTATTCTAAAATAGGACTCTGAGGAAGGGAGATCATCCAGTATTATAATCCCTGCTTTTAAACTACTAGGGTTCTAATGGGCTTTTGATGTTCAAATGTCATTTAACCTTAGTTTATTCTCACCTGTCAGCTAAATTATAAACAAGTTAATGCACATAAAGCATTTTAATAGTTCCTGGCATATAGAAAATAACAAATGTTAGCTACTGACATTACACACACAGCTTTAGAGATTTGTATGTCTCACTGCATTAGCCTTCTAAAAACGTTAGTAAAAGGAAAAATAGCTTGTAAAAAGATGAAGGTCTCAAAAACAGCAAGGCTTATGTACAGAAATTCTTCATGAGCAGAAGTGAAAGTGTTAAGATACACATGGCTACTTCCTGTCTTTTCTACAGATCTCCTAATTTAGCACTGGAGTTTTTTTATTTAAGTTGTATAGATGTGGTTAATTTGTTGGTTTCACAAATAAAAACACATGCTGCATAAACTGCATTCACAGGATAAGCAGTTATGGACTTTTTTTTTTTAAGACAGTCTTGCTCTGTTGCCCAGGCTGGACTGCAGTGGCGTGATCTCAATTCACTGCAACCAACCTCCACCTCCCAGATTCAAGTGATTCTCCTGCTTCAACCTCCCAAGTAGCTGCAATTACAGGCGCCCACCAACAAGCCCAGTTAATTTTTGTATTTTTAGTAGACATGGAGTTTCATCATGTTAGCCAGGCTGGTCTCGAACTCCTGACCTTAAGCAATCTTCCCACCTCAGCCTCCCAAAGTGGTGGGATGACAGGCATGAGCCACCATGTCCAGCCTCATCTATGGGATATTTAGTTGGAAAGTACAGGCTATTCAGACAGTAAGTACAAATCTAATTGTGCTTTGTACTCCAAATAGTCAGGTAATTGAAGACACGGCATGTTACTTAATCCCTACCCAGAGCACAAGACAATTTCTGCAAGGAGGGAGAAATTCAGAATGTGAAAATGGATTCAATAACTCTATTTCCAGAATATTATCATAAAGCAGGAAGGCCACATGCAGCAAAAGTGCCTGTGTTTTAAGCATGCAGTGAGCACTGCGCTCCTCAATGTATGGCCTTCCCAGATTCTTTCACAGACAGGCTCTTTGGCTGTGTGTACTAGTTCCAAGGTTATAAATATTATCCTTAACAAATACATGTGAAAATATCTTAACCACATAGGCAGACTCTTGATGATCTTGGAAAAACATTTCTACCAGAAGAGATTTTAGATGCCCTTGAACAAACTGTCTGGAAATGTTTATCTAACTTCAAATGATGCTTTCCAATTTTAGTATATGCGCTGCCAAAGCGAGCACAAATGAGGCTTTATCTAAAAAGTGATGCTTACCAATATGACAGATGGTTGGTTGAATTTTTTTTTTAATTTTTAAAAACCAGTAACATTTTTGGCATAATACATTTAAAGAATTGATGAACTGGCTTTAACAATCACATACTTGAGTACATTTTGAGGTCAGTTTTTATATGAATAGGGCAAGCAGAGTAAGTTCACATTTCACCTCTAACATGCAGTGTCTATGATACTTTATACATGTATTTGCAAGAATAGGCTTTAATAGAGACTGTGCTTCTTTCTGTTTTTGTAATTAAGAAATTAAGCTTATCAGCAAGGAACTGTGGAGTGTCCTGACAGCTCTTATATCACTGCTCTCTGTCTATGTGACTGGTGTATGCGTGGCCTTCATACTCCTCTCCAAAGTAAGTCAAATCTTCTTGCATGGGATGTCTCTATAACCTTGAATATTACCAAAAGAAAAACAATTTCTATCTCTCCACAAGTTATGGACCTCAGCAAGAGCTCATCTAATATTTTCCTGTGCAGCTGCAGGGAGGAACATCACCTGCAGAGGAGGTCTGTGGAAGAAAGCATCATACATTCTCATCACTGAAATTATAAGCCAGAGGACACAACTTAGTGTTTTCTCTTTAAAGCCAGTAACATGGGATTAAGAAGAGAACCATCTGCTAGACTATCTTTCTGCTGTAGGGGTGAGGGGAGGGGAAGTGGTGGGAAGATATTACTGTTATCTATGAAAGCCTTAAGAATGATTTTTTTGTTTGTTTTTTGAGACGGAGTCTTGCTCTGTCACCCAGGCTGGAATGCAGTGGCGCGATCTTGGCTGACTGCAACCTCTGCCTCCTGGGGTCAAGCAAATTCTCCTGCCTTAGCCTCCTGAGCAGCTGGGACTATAGGCGTACATACCACACCCAGCTAATTTTTTGTATTTTTAGTAGAGATGGGGTTTCACCATATTGGCCAGACTGGTCTCAAACTCCTGACCTCATGATCCACCTGCCTCAGCCTCCCAAAGTGCTAGGACTATAGGCATGAACCACTTCGCCTGGCCAAAACAGTCTTTAATAACAAAAATGGGTTGATGAAGAGACTAAAAGCAGCCTTAAAATCTTCAAAAACGCCTAAAGTTATTGAGAAAGAATGCCTTTTTGCTATGCATATAAGAAAAGAGATGTATACATTATGTTAGGATTTCTATAAATCCTACAATCAACATCAGTTCGGTCCACTAGTTTTTAATGGAATAAAAGCACCTTGGAAATGATGTAAAAATTAACTCTTACTCACTATCATTTAAGCATTAAGTCAGTTTAATCTTATTAGGGCATGAGATATCTGCCACCATTGTTATGAGGACATAAAATGCTTCATAGACTTTTCTTCTCTTCTTGGCAGTCAAAATCCAATCCTCTAAGAAACAAAGAAACAAAAGAAGACTTACAAAAGGTACAGACCAACACCTTCAAAATATTTTTTACACTGTGGCTTGTTCTAACTATTTCAAAATTGGTTGAAGTATTTTAAGTTTTTAAATATTTAAAGTTTCAACAGAATATCAAGGTAACTTTCAATCAACAGATACTGTTTCCTATTGCTGAGAAACTCAATGACAAAATAATCTCAAGTGATAAACTGCAGCTTAAATTGGACAGTTCTCAACCATAAATTCTATTTAAGGTACTCAAATACAAAAGAGCTAAAGGTAGGCATACATCTGTTGGGAAGGCATAGTTTTTAAGACTGATGGCAATAAAGTAAGAAAAGTTCTGATGATGTGCAGTTATCATTGCTTGTATTCTCAAAGGAAAGATTTTTTTTTCTCATTGTCTTTATAGAAGAAGAGTGCTCGGCGTATTTTTCAAGAAATTGCTCAAGAACTATACCATAAGAGACATGTGGAAACAAACCAGCAACCTGTAAGTGTAAAATGTCCATGAAAAAAAAAATGTAATACAAATAGCATGTTTGAAAACACTAAGCTGCCAAGGAGCTGTCAATAACCATGTTTTCCTTCAGAAGACTCTGAAAGGGAACTTTCACATGAAATGCATTTTTATATAGAACCTGTTTTAATAAATACATAACAAAAGGCATCTGATACAATATTACATAGCCCCAGGCTGGCAGATGAGTGCCATGGAAACTTTCAGAAACATACTGGACACAAGCAATGTTTTCAATATACACAAGGATGCTTAAAAAGGATGGATTGAAAGCTACTCCATACAGTATACTGCATACAGTGGTAGGCGTTAAGTAGATATTGCAAACATTTGTGGGTCGAATTATGAAAACAATTACTTGTTACTTATAATGCAAAAATAAATTGACATTAGAAATGAGGCAGCTAATGATATTTAAAAATGAGTATTTCCCCAGTGTCTGGAGTTGAACTGAAAAAAATAATACATCCATATCTATAATACATCTGACAGTGTTTTTTTTTTAAGTCTTATATAAACAGGTTCTTCAAATATGATGTTGTCTTAGCTTCAGCAGAACAGATACTTTGATTACACGATGCAAGATGAGATAGCTCAAATAAGCTAAAATGTATACAAAATAAGGTTATTTTTATTTTTTAAAATTTATGCAACGCTTCACACATTTCCATGTCATCTTTGTGCAGGGGCCATGCTAATCTTCTCTGTATCAGTCCAATTTTAGTATATGTGCTGCCAAAGTGAGCACAAAATAAGCTGAATTGATACACTAGTAAACATATTTTTCTCTGAAACAGCAGCCAAGAGGGCAAATGCAACAGGAGACTGAATAGAGTAGTTTTTTTTTTTTAGCCCAACTTTCACTTATTAATTTTTTTTTTTTTTAACATGGAATGCTTCGCGAATTTGTGCATCATCCTGCGCAAGGGCCATGATAACTTTCTCTATACTGTTCCAATTTTAGTATATGTGCTGCCAAAGCAAGCACTAAAAATCTAACTTTTACAAAGGATTTTTGCCAAGGAAAGAATATTGTCTAAGTAGTTGTTTCATCCTCCAGTGTATATATGGATACATAAAAATGATAAATAGTCTAATTACTAAGATGCCACACTGAGTAATTATAAATTATTTTTCTTTCTGAGGCCGGGACATGTTTCAACAACAAGACCAAGGTATGCAGCCTGAAGGCAGTACTAGAAGTGAGAATTGTAAAGTTCCCAGCCAGGATTTTGACAATAGCATCCAAACAAGAAAAATATTTTTCAGTTCCCTCATCCTACTCTAAAAACGGATGGGGAAAATGGCAACCTGACCTTTAAGGTTACTGAATGGGCACTTAAGACCCAGAATCCAAGATGGCCCAGTGGTTTGCATGTTGCTTGGTGGGTGGCTTCATTGGTTACACAACTTTAAACATGGCTTTCTATTTATTATTGCAGGAGAAAGATAACAACACTTATGAAAACAGAAGAGCACTTTCCAACTATGAAAGACCATAGAAATGTTTTAGTGTTCAATTAACTCACTGAAAATCCAGCTGCAGGAGCTATGGCAGTGTTAATGAACATACACCATCAGATCTTAAAAAAAATAAAGGTAAACAGAAAAGACAACTGGCTACAAAGAAGGATGCCGGAATGTAAGGAAACTACAACTAACAGTCATTAACAAAATACTAAAACCCAACAAAATGCAACTGCAAAATACCTTCCAAATTTGCCATGAAAAAATTCTATTTTAAACACGTATCCTGAGTTTGTTTCATTCCACGTGAGATGTGTGATGACTGCCATCCTGAAGATCTGAAGCTAAGCCATATGCCTCAGTCTTGAGTGGAAGAATCATCTTTGTGGTTTGTGGAAATCATGGGACAATTAAAATAAGTTGAGAGGGTGCAAAGTGACAAAATTTGAGTTAGAGACGTTCATTTTGAAAAGCACCTTAGTGAAAGTTACTTCCTCTGATGCTGTCATGGGGCACTGGAGTAGCTTGCCTGCCAGGGTATGCAAAGTAACTTACATCATGCTACTAGCAAAATGAGAACAGAATAGTGACTAGAATAAGAAAATTAAAACCAAAATACAGAAAGTCCAAAGCTGAAGGTTAAACAGAGGAAATTTCAGAACAAATAAACCACAACTGACTCTAGATGTCAGTGTTGTGCCAAGTATCAGCACCAGGGAAGGTGTGGGCAACATGTCTACTTTACAAGTACATTTGTAATACTGATTTTTAACCAATTTAGGAGGGAAATGTCAATAGGAGGCAAGGTACAGCAAGGATATTTACGGAATTCAGGACCACTTCACTAAGAAAACATGATACAAATTGTCCTTTGAAAGCTACTTTGGTATAAAAAATCTAAAGAACTCATAAGTATCAGTATTATTAAACACAAATTACAACCTTACAAACTACTATGTTTATATCATTTAAGTGTTTCTTTTAAACTGGTATTGCCTGAGATGTATTCTTTTTAAAACTTAGAATTTTAAATACTTTAAGATTCCTTTGAAAGAGTTTTTGCACTGATGGCTGAAATCAGTGATATCAAACTTTTCCTGATCATATGTGCCCAGAAAAATGGACAGAGGAAAGGAGGGAGGGTGGAACCTCATTTTATTTGTGTGTATCTATGTATACATGTGAGTGCACATGTGTGTAGGCACATGTGTTTTGTGTATAGTGTATGCGTGAATATGTACGTATGTACCTTATACACAAAAACAGAAATTAAACAATGGCATAAGCAGCAATACAAATAAAAAATGCTAACATTTTCTTGCCATATTGCAAAATAAACTGTCTTGTGCATTCTGCAGTGTATACTTCCCTACTCTGAGACCACTGGCTCAGGTAAAATAAGAAGCTTCTAAACCAGACTGCAAAAAAGGGCAAGCACTAATACCACCAAGAGAACAGAAGTGTTGAATTCGATCATTTGCTTTTCATTTCTGGGAGTCATTACATTTTGGTACTGAATTGAATTCCAGGGCTGAAAATTCACTGTTCGTTGTATAACTAATCAGGAGACAAAATCCCTAAGATAAACTAGTATTTTCTCACAATATGCCTTTCCCACTGTAAGCAAAAACTGTGTTTCAAAGATAGATTTTGAAGCTCAAATGTAGCATATACTTTCCCAAAGAGTTATATTCCTCTAGGTCATATATAAGAATATCTGGTGTATACACAGTATTCATGCATTATTCATCTATCTTGCCAACAGTATTTATTTTCAAACTTCAAAACAAGTTTTATTTGGGAAGAGTTTATTTTGTTAAAGCTACAAGCAAGCTTCTTTCCCAATTACAAATCTAGAGATCTAGCAGTTTCAGAGACCTCAGTGTTCAAAAATATATTTCAAAATTAACAACTAAACTAAACCCACACCGAAAGGAAACAGTTTTCAGATTGGTTTGGAATGTACAGCCATTGATTTCAGATGCCAACAATATTTACTGAGTGCTACACTATACAATCAAAGGCCTCTTTGCAAACTCTCCTTGGGTCATACTGAACTTGCTCCACCCCACATGAACCTTATTCACACCTTCATGCTTTTGCACATGCTGTTCCCCTCAGCCGGGTACAATGCTTCAGATCACAAACACAGCTCACCCCAACATGAAACCTTCCCTAACTCACCCAGAGGCTAACGGATCTTTTTGTCTAATTCTTCAGTACTTTGCCATTATTTCTTAGCACAATCCCCTGCCATTATCTGTTTATTGTACAGATATTCTATATTCTGTACTATTCTGTGTTTTAAGAGCAAAAGCACAATTCTCATTTATCTTGGTACTTCTATTTAGTACACTGTAGGCCCTCAAATGCCTTTCTATCAATGCAACTTAACAATATTTCTATAGAAAAATGCTTCTTCAGCATTTAAATTAAGATATGTGGCATACTTCAGTCCCTCACCATGAAGCCTCACCCCTTTCCATGAAGACCATTCAACAAATCCCTAACAGTTGTAATTATACTCCTATCTATGCCCAGAAACATTTTCAATGAAAAGGATTAAGCTGTAACTTTTTTTTTTTTCTTGAGATGGAGTTTCACTCTTGGCACCCAGACTGGAGTGCAATGGTGTGATCTCAGCTCACTGCAACCTCTGCCTCCAGGGTTCAAGCGATTCTCCTGCCTCAGCCTCCTGAGTAGCTGGGATTACAGGCACCTGCCACCATGCCTGGCTAATTTTTGTATTTTTAGCAGAGACAGGGTTTCATCATGTTGGCCAGGCTGGTCTTGAACTCCTGAAATCAAGTGATTGGCCTGCCTTGGCCTCCCAAAGTGTTGGGATTATAGGTGTGAGCCACTGCACCTGGCCTTGTTTCCAACTTTAATGAAAATATTTCTACTTTAAATATGATGCTGATGCTATTTTATTTTTACTTGAAGTTGCTGTTGTTTGACTTGAGATGTTTTGTTTTGTTTTTAGCTCACTGCAACCTCCACCTCCTGGGTTTGATCAGTATTCCTGCCTCAACCTACTGAGTAGCTGGAATTACAGATGATGCATGCCACCATGCCTGGGTAATTTTCATATTTTTAGTAGAAACAGGGTTTTGCTGTGTTGGCCAGGCTGGTCTCAAACTCCTCACCTCAAGTGATCTCCCCACCTCGGCCTCCGAAAGTGCTGGGATTACATTTCCCTCTTAAAGTTGTGTTACAGACTGTGTGTTTGTTTGTGTTCCTCCCAAATATATATGTTAAGGCCTCTACCCCCCATCGTGATGGTATTAGGAAGTGCGGTCTTTGGGAGGTGATTAGGATTAGATGAGGTCATGAAGGCCTGGGTAATGCCACCAGAACCCCTCTCTACAAAAAAATACAAAAATTAGCTGGGTGTGGTGGCATCCACCTGTAGTACCAGTTACTCAAGAGGCTGATGTGGGAGGATTGCTTGAGCCCAGGAGGTCAAGGCTGCAGTGAGCTGTGATCACACCACACTGCTCTCTAGTATGGGCAACACAGTAAGTCCCTGTCAGAAAAGAAGAAAAAGAAAAATAAGAAGAAAGAGAAAAAGGAAAAAAGGGGGAGAGTAGGGGAGGGGAGAATGTTTTGTTTTGTTTCGTTTTGAAACACCACAAAGCAAATTGCTGGTATCTAGACACCTCTAGGAAAGTTATACATCTAGTGTCGTGCTGGCAAATGTCTAACTACCAGCTTGGAAAAGAAAAAGGCTATTTGCAGTGTTTTCCAATTTCTACAGTATAAATACTCCCATCATGGTCAATTTCAATAATGGCCATGTTTAATAATCAGTTCACTAAATTCCCACCAAAACAACAATCAGCTCTCATAAACCAGTCCAAGCCAGCTGCAGCATCCACAGCTTAAATCTAGACAACCATGTGGAGACATATGTGCTGGTAAGAACTACTTTCCTAGGTACACTTAAGTGGAAAAAGGCAACAAAAATATCTATAATTGCGTACCGCCTGTGTAAGTAATTTTTTAAATGTACATATGTACCTGTATTTGCATAGACCATCTTTTAAAGAATATTCAAGATATCAGAACAAGACTGTGTAATTGGACTGGATGAGAAACTTTTTATTGTAAACCCTCTAGTAAGTTACTTGAATATTTTTTTAAATTACTAAATTACTTTTTTAAAATTATGATTTTGAAAAATTAAACCTCATTAAATGTTTATTTTTATAATATAATTATCCTTTTCTTGACTACATATCTTTCCTTTTTTGGGGGGTACTTAAAATAATTCACACTAGATTCAATAACCCCTAACCAAAACTGGGTCAGTAAACCAAATAAACTGAAATTCGAACAATATTTTTTTTTCATTTTGTTTTTTTCCAATACAAAACTGCTACAGTTCAACTTCAAGTCATTTACCAAAACAATTACATAAGTAATCATTTCACCTACAACTACTTTTAGTTTAAAAAAAACAAATTAAGCCAAGTATGCAAAGCACACTCGGATATCCTAAAATAGTCCAGTATTCATGAATCTACACAGCAAGACCATTTTGCATCTCCTGGATCTCACGGTTTTACATGGAAATCATCAGGATCTAATTAGTGACTCAGAGAAAGAAAGCAATAATAGAGTGCCATGGCACAGTGCGGGAAATTTATAGGTCACTAAAAGTCACCCATAGCAACAAGCCTTCTTATCTCAGGTCTGCAGTGTGTCACATGCCAGACTCCTCAGACTCAACAGGCAATTCTGCACATCCACAATCAAGGAGCTTGTTTTCCACCCTTCATGGAGATGGCCCTCTTGTCTAGTTTGACTTCCTCTTCATTTTTAGCATCAGAAACACAATGAAATAAAATTCACATTAAAGTTCTATCATGAGGTTGCCCAACAGGACACAGGAAGCCAGGATCTTCCAACCTGATGACTAGTGAGTGCAATGCAGACAGCTGCAGCTGAAGCTTAATTACACAGGTAGGAGCAGCACTGAAGATCAGGTTGCTGACTCAAAGAAGGAGGACATTTACTAGTTTTTTTTTCACTGTGCAGTATCTAGATGATGTATGTACACTCACATGTAAAAGCAGTTTTTTTCTTTGCCATGACAAGCCACTCGACAACAGGAATGTAAAAATGGAGATCTAAGATGGGAATGGGAAGATTTGTTCTCTCTGTTCTTTTCCACACCCTTCTATGTCGAAAGAATTCCCCATTTTCCCCATTATCAACACAAATCTGAAACCATTTGGTAAATGTTAAGACAAGCATTAAGTCTGAAGGCATTAAGATGTAGGGAGAAAAAATAATGAACCGAATTAAGGAGCAAGCAAGTGACACCACAAATCCACACAGAATCCAAGGGTTATAAGAAACATAGGCATTATCCCTTAAGACACAGATGTTCATGGTATTTGATAATGATGACTTTGCAAAATAGTAATAGATTTCTTCAAAATGTCTGTGAAAACCACTCTTAAGAGTTTTTGAAGTCAAGGTCAAATGAGGCAGTAAAAGAAAGAAATCTAAGGATTTTTCGGCTGGGCACGATGGCTCACACCTATAATCCCAGCACTTTGGGAGGCAGAGGCGGATGGATCACCTGAGGTCAGGAGTTTGAAACCAGCCTCGTCAACATGTGGAAACCCCATCTCTACTAAAAATACAAAAATTAGCCAGGCATAGTGGCATGTACCCATAGTTCTAGCTACTTGGGACTCAGGAGGCTGAGGCAGGAAAATCACTTGAACCTGGGAGGCGGAGGTTGCACCACTGTACTCCAGCCTAAGTGACAGAGCATGGCTCTGTCTCAAAAAAAAAAAGAAAGAAAGAAAAAGAAAGAAACACTAAAGATTTTTAAATAGTAACTTGTATTATTCATAAAATAATTTTATATCAATGTACATTAACATGAAAATGCAGGAGACTTAAAGTAGTAACTTTCAAGATTGTCTAAAATGCAAACCACGTAAGCTAAAACTATAAATTATTGTGGCATTAAGTCAGAATGGCCAGAAGTCATAATAAATATGAAGTGATATGAAATCAACCCATTTCTTCTAACATATTCTTCATTCAATATTGCTGAAGAGCAAGACCACGCAATCAAGAAATCAAATATTACAGAAAGAAATTATATATGCTGCAAGATGCATGGTCTTCAAAAGAGAAAAAAAGCAGATAACAGCATTTATCATTTTTAGAGTCTGGCTCAAGAGATACAAAATACAAAACAAAATAGCCATGACATTCAGCAAGTGTATATACTAGATTTAAAGGCACTGTTTATTGCTCGATTCAGTTGTAAAGCTAATAAATAAATGGTTCAAGTTCCATTTGAAACCAGAGATACAGATGCAT